CAATATAAAACCAAGCCCAAATAGTCATAAGTCTCAGCTGATGTACTCACCTGCTGGAAGCTGGGCAGTCAAAAGCCTGGCATCCCTCCACTGCTTCTCATTTAACACTTGCTGGGTGCTGTGCTGAGCTGGGATTCTTCTAGGTGTCTAATACACATAAAGAAAAGTAAGCAAGTTGTACTTGCTTGTAGTGGAAGGCAAGGCAGGAAAATGTTTTGTTCTGGTGCACTCATTCCCTATGCGCAGTAGCCTGAGGCTGTGGTTAGATAAGGAAAAGCTGATTCTCTAGACAAGAAACTGCTAAGGCAGTGGGAGATCTGCTTTTAATTCTTTGCTTTGATTCAGGTTTCCTCTCTGTCCCTGGACAAGTCAGTTAATCCCTCAGTTTGTCTTTTTCTGGGTGGGAGTGGACATGCTGGATGTTTCCATGAGTCTCTAAAAACTGAATTTAAAATCAAAGATGTTTAAATAAGCCTTGTCTAAAGCTAACACATTACAGATAAAAACCAACTAGTTAATAAAAAAATCAACCACAGTATAGTGATTTTGAATCCCATTTTGATTTTTGCTTCTACTCTCTGTGAAATGACTTGATTAATGTTGGCAATAGATACTGAGATTTTTCAGATGGGTTTCTGCTGAGGAGATAAGGCTGTCATGTGTTTTAAAAAGGATTATTAATGGGAAGCACCTGAACCCAAATGGTTTCTGCCAAATCTCTGTCTCATGATCCTTTTCTAGCAGTAATGAAATAAATGAGGCAGTCACGAAGTAGCACTTTGTGCTAGAGCATGATGAACTAGAGGTAACCTGAAACACTTCTGAAGGTATTGTCATGCAATAACTTCTGTACTGCCTAGCTTCCTGCCAAGGAGGAGCTTGACAATTAACACGTTCTTCTCCAAATGTTGGCATAGGACTTCCCCTGAATGGTGTCTCCTTGACTTTATAAAACCAACAAATACCTGTATTTTGTCTGAGAAATATAATAGTAAGTCCAGGGAGATTTTTATAGAGTGAATTTAAAAGTTCTTCTCAAAAACAATTGTAGGGACATCCGAAGTACTGAAAGCTTTATAGCTTTCTTTCAGCTTTCCCTAGATAGCTTCATTGTCCAGTGCTGATGGACCCCAAAAAGGTTTGATATTACATGCTGCAGAAATTAATGTCTGCAAGTCCCAAACGCAGTGAGATGGATCAACTTGTTGTCAGATAACACAGATGACATTCCCCAATACTACTTCTAGCACAAGACTTTGCTTTAGCTATGATGTTTCTGTGATGGATTTCCCCAAAACCTTTAGATTTCTGTGTCTACATGAATAAACAGAGCACCATGTAGATATTAAGCTCTTCAATCCCAGGAAGCGCTGTGCTTACTGTAAACAGACTGGCTGTTGATTAGAACATGTGCAAAACATCCATCTGCTCCCTAGAGGCATCAGACTTTCTTTGCTGCACATGTGTAGAAAATCTGCAGCTTTTGAGAAGATTTAGCATGTTGAATGCTATTCTGCTGGTCTGTATCTGTAGAAGTATCTGGGACTTAAAGATACTCAGCTGCCTGGTCAGAAGCTCTGTACCTTAGCTTCTGCTAGTTTTCCAGGTACTCTGAACACATGAACACACGTAGAATTCCCCTTCCCCGCCATGGGGAACATGACTTTAAAGCAGAAGATGCCCTTTCTGAGGTAAATCTGAATTTACAGCAGCCTTCTTAATATTTGCAGAAACTGTTTTTCTTATGATGTTGGAAAAAAGGGGGAAGAATTTAAGCCCCTACAGGTAGTTTTGCATTTGGTGCCAGTGGGAGAAGGATCCGGTCACCCATGGTGGTTTTATTCTGCATCTCACCAAATACAAAGTGGATGCTTAATCCTTATAGGCAAGCACACTTAACAGGATGTGGTGTGTGATCTAATACATTACACTGATTTATCTTGTCCCATGGCCCTCTGTAGTCCTTCTATACTGCAAATGTAAAAGAATGGATGTAGTGTAATTTATATCTTAATTGGCAGACATCCTCTAAAAAGCACGTTGTCACTCAAGATGGAAAATGTGTACAGCTGACAAGTATGCGTTCACATTTGGGAGAAGTTTGAACCTTTGTAACTGTAAGGAATGAGAAAATAAAAATGCTGTAAATAAAAGTCCTATCTTGAAAATATCAGTGCAACAGCAACTCAAGTAAAATGAGCTGATTCTTTTAAAAACTGCGATTCCCATTTTTCTTCAATCAAAACCCATGATTTTCTTACAAAATTCTCAGTTATGAAGAACGTCCACTGTTGTCTTGGTTTTGTGAATGTGATATTCTGTTTGAATTCTTCTTCTAGGTGTAATGAATGTGTTGTTTGATGTCCTGATCTTATCTGTGCAACTGAAGTGGTAAGGGTTCTGAAATGCTTCAGAAGCAATGATGTTATTTGGCTTGTGACATTGCCATTTAATCTGATTTTGAAAAATGGCCAAGAATATTATAATAATAATAAAAAAAACACTAAAAGAACTAAAACAAAAAATCCCCAACACCATTTTATGTGCATTGAATATGTACATTACCACCACCATTCAAACCCATGAGATTTGCTTTTGAAATTGAACGTTTTCTGGTTTGTTGTTGGTTTGGTTTTTGGGTTGGGATTTTTCTTTTTTTTTGGTGGGGTTTCTTTTTGTTTGTTTGTTTTGGGTTTTTTTTGGTGGGTTTTTTGGTTTTGTTTGGTTTTTTTTGGGTTTTGTTGTTGTTGTTGTTTGGTTTGTTTCCAATCAGAAAAATATATTTTTCCTCTTCCTGGAGGTTTTAATGTTGGCCACTTCCGAAATTCCTAATTTTCATGTTTGCTAGAAGTATATCCTCCTTCCTTCAACTTATGATCATAAAGAAGTTGAAGGAAAATAGTTAAATTCTTCACAAGAATTAGTAGAAACCTATATAACACACTGATTTCACTATTTTGTTGTACATCGTTTTACAGACCTGAGATGCCAGCATGCCACCCCACAGATCCCTGGTTAATCTCCTTCCCCAGATCTTCTAGCGCCAGACAGGCAGTCAGTATTTTCGGGGTGCTGCTAACTTGTTGCAGTTATTTAACAAACGTTGAAGTAATGTGTCCATCACAAGCCATAGGTTGTATTCATCTTTTCCTATGATAATAAGTTTAGTCTGCTTGGCAATAGTCAAGATTTTTCCATGCAAACTAACATGAATGGCAAAATCTATTCCTTAAAGAAGGCTGGTGAAAGATTTACAAAGGGCTGGTTTAGTGTGTGAAACAGAACTGGGTTTGTTCAGACTTTTTTTGAAAACCCCAAGTTATCTCCTCTTTGACTTTGGGGAGTATTATATATTTACATACAGAAGTGCTTTTCTAAATCCTACTAGACACCTAATCTTGGGTTTAGGTGCCATTTGGACATCAGTTTGAATCTTCTGTGTGACACCACTTTAGCTTTCATTCTGCTATTTCATTTTCTGAGTAAAGTTGTAATTTTTCTGCTGCCATGCATTGACTTTGGCATCATCTGAAGGTCACTATTTTGTACAAGATAAAGCTGAGTGAAATTGTGCTGATCTTGTGGCTGATGAATTTGCTCTTGTTCTACCCCTGCTCTTTTCTTGGTCTGCACCAGAAGCCTGATTCTCTCAGTGAACCTGTAAAGGCTAATTTGTCCCTTTCAATATAAGTGCAGTGGAGTCAATGTTGTGTGTTCATAGGTAGTTTGCAGGTGTTATTTGTTGATTTTAAAAGATCAAAAAGCAAAGAAAGTTGTGTTTGTATGGGTGCACTACAAGGGGAAGTTATGCTTAAGTGTCTGTCTTTCCAGGTACTCCTTGATCTCTGATGCTTCTCCCATATCTGCCCAAATAGCCCTTATTCTTCTTTCTAGTCCTAAAAACTTTCCTTATCCTGGTTTCTCTCCCAGCAATCTTTGTAGCTAAGCTGAGAACATGTGTTCAGGAATGACTGCTCTAGAGGACTGCTGGTAATGTGCAATCAGTTTATATATATGAATACAGAATGTAATCATCCTGGACTGATTTTATAGTACAAACACACCTCCAAGCCACAGTTCTCCTCCAAGTCTCTGCCTGTTGAAACCAGGAAGGTGCTAGGGAAAAAAGAATATATTACTTCTCAGGCCATACGACAGGAGAGTCAGGGCATTTCCTTCCTTATAGCTGTATACACCTTACCACAGGGACCACACCGAAAGTATAAAAGCTACACAGCTTTAACTCTGCACAGAATATAGGAAACAGCATTTTACTTCTCCTCCTGCTCTTCTTTCGCTGAAGGAACAAAACCAAGGCACAACTTAAGTACAAATGAAGATCTTGCTTTTTTAAGTTAGAGGGTATTTTTCTGTAAATCAGGTAACAGGCCACTGGAAAGATCAGCCAACTGAAGATTAATGCAGGTATTGTAGCAGTGCATTAGTGCTGTGATCAATTGGACTCTGCTGTGCAAAGACAGAATTGTCTCTCTGTTCCTACCTGTTTCTAATAAATACGGGAACGACTGCAGGCTTCAGTCATTCCTGTATTGGAAGAAATGGAAATTTTTCTGGTTGAAATTCACAGGCTTTTCTTCCTAGAGGATTTATTACATTTTTCCATCCTCTTCAATAATACCAGAAGAAATATAAGTGTTCTGTAGCTGAAAAGGTAAGATTTCTGAACACTGGGTGCATCTGTTCTCAAGAAGCCATTTATCCCAAATTCTGCATATAAAAAGAAAGGAGAGCAGTAAACCCTAACCTCCTGGAACCCCAGAATATTATCTTGCTGTTTATTTGCTTCTATGTGCTAGGCTGCTTTAATGAGCTGTTGAATCTAGATTCACATGTCACTTTTTGAGCCGAGTGTTGACATGACTTTGCCACATGGGATTTACATTGTCAGCAGTCTTACAAGCTTTATTACATTAAACACAACTTGCAGTCATTCTAAGTTGTAAAAAAAAATAACTTAGTTACTCTTTGTCTTTTTCAAGGAGTAACTGGGTGACCTCTTACAGAGTATTGGTGAGCAATGACAGTCATGCATGGACTGCTGTCAGAAATGAATCTGGAGATGTGGTGAGTATCACAAAACAGAAGTTTTATGAAGGGCAGAGGTGGGAAAGTGGGGCTGTCCACATGGAGTTTTGATTGGCCAGATTAGTCAGTGCAGGACTGCAAGGCAACATATCTCGGTCATCCCCCTATTTTTAAGAGCAAATCACATAGCAGAACCCAGAATACCCTGTATGGCAAACCTGCGTGGGTCTGCCTATGGATGCGAATGTCGCCCTGGCAGTTGTCTGGCCTATGGTGTGATACGTTTCTTGTTGCATGGCCCATGCAAGGGTGTACATTCAGTCTGATGACCCCTGAGGATATCTCACACCCATAAGATGTCTACTGCCAGAGAGAGGGTGTGGAATCCCCCTCTCTGAGGGGTGTGGGGTGGGGATTGTGCTCTTTGGAGAGCAGTTCTGGCCTGACCTACCATGATCATGGGGCTGGTACCGGCTGACTTTATTTGTTTCTATTACCCGAAGTGCTAAAAGAATTTTTGAAGAGCTGATCTTGCCATTTTCATGTGTTTGGCCTGAATAGATATTTGAAGGAAACAGTGAAAAAGAGATCCCAGTTCTCAATATGTTGCCGGTGCCACTGGTTGCACGTTATATCCGTATAAACCCGCGGTCCTGGTTCCAAGAAGGTAGCATCTGTATGAGACTGGAAATCTTAGGGTGTCCTTTGCCAGGTAAGAATCTTTTTCAACTGATGTTGATGTGGCTGCCTGTAGCAAGACTCAGAAATTTTATTTCCTTTGGATATCTTTTCTTTTCATACAATACATGTAAGTACAGGTATGCAAAAAGAAACAAAAATACCCGTTCAGATACATGGACAGTATCACAATAAATCTTCAAATACAATCACACAGTATCTATAAGTGGCTTTATTAATAAAACAGTATTGCATGGATGATCTAACAAGATTTTGTGTGTTGTTTGGGCTGAAGTGCAGTGCAATTAATCTTACTGAGTGTGTGTGTGTACTGGGGACGCAATAGGATTATGTATCAGGACAGTCGCTTGCAGACGTCTCGAGCTTCTTGGGCAAGAAAAAAGCACTATATTATGCAGTATGATTATTATTATTATCACTACTATTTCATTGTACAGGCCATAGGACTTGCCTAAATTAATTTCAAGGCAAATCTTGTAACTGAACTAGTGCTTATCTTGTTAGAGGGAAAGGAGGGGAATTGAGGATGTAAAGAATTTCTGTCAAATTTCAGGTGTTATCAAATCCAGAATGATGCCTGGTAAATCACATGTGAAGGTAAATGTTCCTGTCCTTGGTAAAGACTGGAAAAAACGTGACCTGTTGTTTAGCACTTGTTCAAATCTTTTCTTAGTTGCCCATTACTCATTCCACATCTCTCATCTGCTTTGTTTTTTTCTTTCTTTGATCTTAAATTCCTGCACTCTGGGGATAGCTCTCTGTCTGTTTGGGTTCTTTTTTGCCGTGGGCTGCGAATAGTATTTTCAGAAATACTAGAGCTAGAAAGAGAACTGCCTTTCCAGAGCCTATCATCACTGCTTTATCTGGTCCTGCTGCTGTGCAGAGACTTGCTGCCTCCAATTCCACTCTCAATGGAGGGTCTTCACAGGCCAAGAAGAGGTAGCCTGATTTTTGTGCTTTAGATGTTTAGATACTCATGAAACTAAACCAGTCTGGGGCACAGAAGGGATAATTCTCTGTCAAGGGGAAGTATGAGGCAAGTATTGTCATGAAACTTAGTCTGTAGGTGTATTACTATGAAGCAGTGAAAGTTAGCAGCACTTAGACAACTGGTTTTCTGTAGGTAACAAATACATCCTGGGGTTGAATGGCAGTGACCAGGGTGTCCTGTGTATGTGAATATTCATGTTTTCAGTAGGATTCTGATTTCTTCCAACCATGGGTTTAGAAAACTTCAACTCTGTGGCTTTCTTGTTTTCCATTGTAGCTTTTACCTTGAAGGGTCAGATCCAGAGCCCCATCTCTCTTGAAAAGACCAGTGGGCTGTCAGAGAGTAGTGATCTATCCCAAATTCCTGTGCTGGTTTACAGAGGATCCACCCTATGGCACAGGGTATGAGGCTGAAGTAAGAGCATAGGTACTTAAAGAGGAAAGAGAAAAAACATTGATATTTGGAAAGGTGACTTTTATTAATGCAGCAGTTATTTACACTGGATTCTTATTTGGACATACACACATAGAAGGTCAAATTCTGCTTTGCAGTGTTAGCATTTGTCACCTTTCAGCTTCACAGGGCTGTATCAGTGGGTGAAGCTCCTATCGGGGTAAGAACATACCTACATTTCCAGCACCCTTGCAGTGAGAGCTATTCCTGCTTATTGCAGGTCTGGGATTAACATGGAAACAGCATCATTGCTTTTTCTTGGTATTCATTTGTAGAGTTAATTCCCTGCAGTGATTGATTCAGTTTATCCCTGAAAGAAAATACCAGAATCATTCACTGAGAAATGGGTTGGGAATGGGCTGTGTTTATTCAAAGTGTGATTGGACTGAAAGAACTAACAGGTTTTGATAAGCTGCTGACCCATCCTTTTAGCTCAGAAAGAACTGATGTTTCTTTCTCCTAGCTCACTTTATCCATCGTACATAAGGGTCTCAGAGCAAAGCTGTTCCTCAGGTTGCAGAGGCCTTTCCATGCATGTTTTCTTCCTGTAGGGCATGTTTTGTAGTTCCCTGTAGCTGGATTCCTCACCCTTTATTGATGTCACCTTATTTTTTCCAAGTTAGATAACTGACTGGTGTGACAGTGCTGCTCAAACACGCTGTATTGCCAGTGTGGCTAGAAAGGAAGGGTTCTTTTCTAAAAGAGGTTTTCCTCTATAAAACTGAGCAAGTCTCCTAAATTCATTCAAATCAGGAGGTGGAGCTCTGACAATTCAAACACCTCTGTCCTTTCCAAAGACCTATGAAAGAAGTTGTGTGATGCTCAGTTTCCTCGAATACCTGCTGTGGATTTGGTTATATTTGCACTCTGAGTGTGAACATACAAGAAATCAAGTTGTCAGGAGCAACAGTTTGTTAGAGCTCCCACACACCGTGTCCTGAGACAATGACAATGCACAGGCAGATATGGGGTGTAAGGAAATACCCCAAGAAAAAAGGGGGTAGAAGGAAAGTAAGTAATTTTTCACGACTGAAATTTTTGTGTTTTAAACTGGTAATGTTTATATATTTGTTAATCCCTGAATAAATGAAGTAATTTGCATTCGGACTGTACTATAGATCAGCTTTCCATCGTATAGGCTCACATGGGAGTATAAGAAAGGAATACCAGATAAAGAAGAAACCTCAATAAGGTATTAATATTCTAGGAAAGCTTGTTAGCTTTGACGGAATGTGATGGAAATAGTAAAAGACAGCTAAGACCCATTCCTGTGGTCTGTGAATAAAACCTGCTGCCTATACAAGGTGTACTAAGAGTTGGACAAATCATGAGAAAATACTATTTAGATAACTGGAGCGGAGAATTTACTGATGAGATAATCTGTATTATATAAGATGATTATAACTTTAATCAGTGAAATGCTTATATATTACTCACAACACGAATTTTTGGGCTATTGTAGGCAAGTCTTGACAAACAAACTTTTTCTAGGCTGTTACAGGAGCTATACAAAAAAAGCTGTGTTATCCAACTGTGTCAGCGCTGTCTTTCAGGCAAGAGAAATGATTTGCTGTTTCACCAAGGGAAAAACATTTAGCTGTGGAGGAAAGATGCCAGAAAATGATACCTATAGCAGAGGATCAGAGCTGCCGTTCCTCACTGGGGAATAGGAAGACAAAAGCACCATCATTTAATTCCCTCTCCAGCTTCCCAAAATGTTGGTATTTACACAGATGTAGACTGATACACACAATCTTTTGCAGTTGCCTCAAAGGGATGGATGTACTTTCCGTGCCTCTTCTTTCTTGAACCTAAGGAAAATCAAAAAGAAACTGCATATGATCAAAAGTACCCAGAGATAAGAGAGAGAAAATTAGCTGAGATCTTCATGCATTTATTTATACTGTAGAGTATTCAAGGCAATGGGCAATTATTTTAATGGAATAAATTTTTTATTAGATTTAATTTTTAATAATTCTTATATGGAAAGCTATCATTGGTATCATGATTATGCCATCACTTTCAACCCATGATAAAAAATGAACTCTACTCTGTAATGGAGTACAGTGTATTGCAGCAGATGCACCCTTTGGTTGTATTTTCCTTGCTGTCTCTTATTGCCAGGCTATGTGCTTAAGTCTAGAACTGTGCTCAACTTGTATAAAACTACTACTTTCTGCAAGTATCTTTCATTATAAGTGATTTTGCATAAATTCAGTGAAGAACTAGTAAGAGTAAATTTGTGCTCAGAGTGACAGTCTGAACTTGTGTTCTGCTTTCATCATTGCGAAGCTAAAACCTAATCTTTGGCAATTTAATACTGTGGGGGAGTTTATGAGACCATATTCAATGTGACCATATTCAATAATTCTCCTGGGAAAGGTCAATGTATTATGTTTATACATACCAAGACAAATGTGTAACATCCCCCAGCAATTAAAACCTAATCTTTGGCAATTTAATACTGTGGGGGAGTTTATGAGACCATATTCAATGTGACCATATTCAATAATTCTCCTGGGAAAGGTCAATGTATTATGTTTCTCTATACATACCAAGACAAATGTGTAACATCGCCCAGCAATGCAATGGGTTTCATTAGAAGGTTTTTTTTCATATATTATTTGTAAAATGAGGTGTGTACCATTGTGAGGAATCAGAATGGTTTGGGTTGGAAGGATCTTTTACAGATCACCTAATTGCAAAATGAATTATAGCTATTATAAGAATCAAACTGTAGGAAATCATTAGATCTAATGTTGGCAGAAAAATTGAAGAAACAACTGCTGCAGGCTAAGATTTTGGGTTTCCTCTTACCCATTATCATCATTCTTTATGCTTAACTGGAATTAGTTGTTTGGTATTTGACTATACATTAACATATATAGAAATATTCCATGTATGGTTGAAGAGTATCATTTCACTGCTGGTTTAATGTGTGATGTTAATGCTCATGACTGCCACAAAATAGATCATGTGCAAAAAACCTTACAATCATCTGAGAGTCTGACAGCAGATTTTTTCAGGATTTTTTCATGTGTGCTGCCTATGACATGTTCAGTTTTGTGAAGACCAGTCAAATTTACTTGTATTAAACACAAATGAAAAAATCAGTCATTTGCAAAATGGCATGGTGAGATTTTTAGGGCAGTCTGAAGGATTTAGACTAGTATATTCTTTTATATAAATCACTTGAATTGACTTCATTATCCTGTACACTAGGAGCACCATATGAGTGCCACTTCTGAGCTTGTAAGCTCCATCGGTGTGACATCATACAACTTACTGCAGGACTTCTGCAAGAACAAAGCATATGAACAAATCGTGCGGAATGGATGCAAGTTTTAATTAGTAAATGAGAGAATTTTGACAATATTTTTTTTGTGAGTGTTGATTTCATCTTCAGGTCATTGCAGTGCTCATGTCACAACTTTCCAGTGCTGGTTTAGAGAACACTGAGAACTAAAGGAGGTAAAAAACAACCAACACTCTCTGTTGTTTCAACAATAACTGGAAACTCACTGGAAGCATCAGGGCTCCAACTCTTGAAGTGCTGTGTAGAGCTGTAATATAACAGAAAACCCCTTCTATATGTCAAACTGATGAGCAGTCATTCCTCTCTGGTACTTCTGTGGCCAGTCCCCAGACCTCTCATGCTGGAAGTGGTTCGGCATTTTAGAGCTTCCTAGACACTTCCCTGTATTTACAAAGAATAGATGTGTGAAGGTAACAAGGTAACTTTACCTGCAAACTTAATTATCTCTAGTGGCAATGTAAAGATAGATTAGTTATAGAACAAAACTAATATATTCCCCTGTATAAATGGCAGTGCCACAGTTTTGCAGGATCTCTTCTCCTGGGAAGAAAGAGAGACTGTCCGAGTTAGTGCTGTGAATAAATGAATGTATTTCACTTCTAATTCTTCTGTGGTTTGAGTTTCTTAATCTCGTATTCTCTGTTTTATTAAAGAAAATAATTTTTGCCAAAGTGGACCTAACCATCTGTGCACAAGGCTCTACATTTTAGCTTTTAATTTTTCTGCTGCAGCAGGA